ATGGAGTTGCTTTCACATAAACATTGGCATGGGGCTACTTCTCTGTAGGGCCAGATCCTAAACAAATCTTGACCACTTCCAAGTTTTTGATGCTATGGAGGTACCTAAAATAGACAGGAAGATGAATAAGATCAACTTCTTTCTGCAAACAAAAGTCTAACCAGCCTACTGGACTATCTGCTATCAGAATATGAGTCTCCTGTGAAAGAATCCCACATCTGGAAAATGTATCACACAAGGTTTGGTTTCTACTGAGTTTTAATCGAACTTCTTATCCAGGATATACTGTAGACAACAATTTGACCTATAATAATAACAAAACAAAACATTATTTCAAGTAACCGGTCTTGAAGAGATAATTTATTCAACATGTTTCTTAAGAAAAACAACTCTCTGCTGTGTATTTTTTCACAAAATTCCGTCTACAGCTTTGCAGTTTTCTATTTCCTCGTTGTGTTTTTTCCCTGTGGGCTTCTAATGCCATTAACTGCCTTTTACAGCAGTCAACAGCTACAGACAGAATTTTAAATATATAGCATAACTGTTGGGGACCTTTTGGGCAATTATGTGACCTTAGGAATAGTCCTCATTTTTCAAGACAGTACAGTAATAGGCCTAGTTTGGTCTTCAGCCCAGTTTTCATGTTCTTTTGTGGATATTATTTTGTATCACTCCTTTGAAAAATATCAAAAAATTCATACTTCCCTTGTTTGGATATACCGTAACTAAGGACTTGTTCTATTATTACACATAACAAGGAGCCAAATCTACAGCTGAGGGAATTTAGCCTAGTTTCCAAAATTCTGAGCCCCCCACTCACACATACTGGTAGCTACTACTTTTTATACCCATTGTTCATATGAAGCTGCTACTGCCACTAGATTGAACCTGCAAATGAACAACTCTTGTTCTGTGTGCATTTCTAACATGGAAAGCTTTGGTTTTATCCATGCCACCATAATTTGTCACTCTAAGTTTGTACAAGACAACTTGTCCCTAGATTTAATCTGAGTAGCTGGACAGAAGTGTCCCATCACCTTTAATAAAAGAGCTCCTCTTTTCTTTTCTTTTCTTTTTTATTCTTTTCTTTTCTTCTTTTCTTTTCTTTTCGAATAATACAGCAGAGTTTGCTATTGTCTTTTTCCAGTAAGATGTTTTTCAACTTCTAGTCAACCAGTCTAGTAACAGAGAGCCAATTTGGTGTAATGGTTAAGGCATCAAGATAAAACCAGGGGACTGTTGAGTTCTAGTTCTATCTTAGACACAAAAGCCAGCTAGATTACTTCAGACCAGTTAATTTCTCTCAGACCTAGGAAGGCGACAATGGCAAACTTCTGTAAAACCTTGTCAGGAAAACTGCAGGGACTAGTCCAGTCAGTTGCCAGGAGTGGGAAAAAATGACTCAAAGGGCCTTCCTTCCCCAAGCTAGTCAATAGCCCTGGTATTTCCAGTTGGTCATCCTTCCAATACTAACCAAAGCTGACTTTGCTTCACTTCCAAAATGATCCAAGCCTGGCAGATTGTGTCATCTGCTAATGCTTGTTCTTTGTTGATCCAACTCTCAGATCAAAATGTTCTAAAATCAGAAGGCAGAAATACTATAGAAAAATGCCTATTATTTCCTGGTTTTTCCTAACCTGGTAGGCTTCAGTTTATTGGGATGTTAAATCTCAGAAATCCTTAACTACAGCTATTCCAGAATTTAAGTTTAACCGCAGTCAATTGGCACTAGGATGGGTGGGTTGTTCAAGGACAGTGATGGCTAATCTTTTTGCCATCGTGTGCCAGGAGAGGGGGGAGGGGGAGGGTCGCGCGTGTGCATGCCCACACCAATAATTCTATGCGCCCTGCCCGCCCGTCCCCCCTCCCCGCTCCTGGCACGTGATGGCCTGGTAGGCCCATTTTTCTTTCTTACCTGGCTCCAGATCCTCTCTATTTATCTGGGAAGGGTGAAAACAGCCTTTCTTACTCCCTCAGAGGCCCTCCAAAGGCCTGAAACAGCCCATTTCCTAACTCCCAGTGGGACAGGATGTGACGCTTTTTGCTGTCTGCAGCCTCCAGACCCTCTCTAGGAGTCTCTAGGAGCCTCTCTAGGAGTCTCTGGAGGCTGGGGACAGCAAAAAAACATCACTTCCGGTCCCACCGGGAGTTGGAAAATGGGCCATTTCAGCCTTTGGAGGGCCTCCGAGGGAGTGGGAAAGGCTGTTTTCACCCTTCCCAGATAAATAAAGAGGATCTGGAGCCAGGTAAGAAAGAAAAATGGGCCTTCCCCACCCACCCCAGGCCCTCCGGGGGCAGGAAACAGCCTGTTTCCCTATTTCTGGTGGGCTCAAAAGGCCCAAAAATCAGCTGGCCGGCGCGCGCATGCACCCCAGAGCTGAGCTGGTTTGCCCACTGATATGGCTACGCGTGCCATGGGTTCACCATCACGGTACTAGGACATGTGCAAATAAAAAGGCCTTGTGCTATTATTTCACATGCAATGAAATACTGTGTATCAGATTAATTTAATTACAAGTTTTTCAAGGGTAATCTGGACACATTGCAAGAATTACTGAAGGAACTCAAGAATTTGTAACATGTAAGAGACATGGGAATAGCAATTAGGGAAATTTTGGTTGAAACTTACACAGAGATAGTGCTAACTGGATGAGAATAAGCCAGTCATTAACACTTAGCTCAACCTACCTCTCAGGAATAAAGTGAAGAGAAACTTCCATGACACCCACTGAGTTCCCAGAGAAATATTGGGATATAAATGTAATATTATACAAGTCAATATTTACTATTTCAGTGGAGTTTTTGATCAATCATGTTCACATGTTTTCTATACCTAGGTACAAAATACTTTGAACTGTTATGAAAACTGTTATGAAACATTTATGCTCAAGAGTTCAGATGCAGCTTCATATATCAGTCTATTCTGTATTTAAATTACAAGAGGCTAGGGGAAAAATTCTCTAACTTAATCTAACTGAACAATGGAAAAAAGTATCCTTTGGAGTATTGTGTAGTTCACATTTTTAGATGATCTCAAGAAAAGTTTACACAGGCATCAATCATGTCTCCTGTAGTTAATGAACATTATGTTCAGAACAGAGAGGCTTTTTGCTAACAAATCCTGCTCCAACGAGGAAGAATTTCCTTTTCCAGTGGGAATGAGATATTAGTCAGTTGTAAAAAAAATATTTCGGCACCATGAAGCTTATTTTTTTAATGACACCAGCTTCTTGAAATCACTATCAATGCCTCCAACTCCTACATTTTATTTCTCTTTAATTTCCTGGGCCCAAGTAAGAGTAAGAGGCAGCTATTGTGTTCGTCACTGCTTGTGCAAAAGCCATTTGAACTGATACTGATTTCTTCTCCAACACTGGCAATGTGCAATGCAAATGTATTGATTGCTGTTGCCCTAACTTTTGGGCTGGTTTTGTTTCCCATGGTGCATATAAACGTTTTTCTCAAGATTATGGGTCTCTTGACTCATGCCATGAGTCCACTTAAAAAGATTTTGACTCCATTAAATTTATGCTAGTTGTTAAACTGCAAGACGACTTCCTTATAATGTGAACAGTTACCAACACTCTGTTTTTCGGCACATTCTCTGCATTTTGTTCAGATACTAACCTAAGTTCCGGAGAAACCGGTTCTTCAAGTTTGCAATACAAATCATTTGTGAGATGTTCTGGTTGCGTGGAATGTGTGACTTCATAAAATCATTTTATCTCTCCTTAGACATGGTGTATCTTAGAAATATAAAGCTGAATATAAAGCCCTAGTAAGACCACACCTAGAGTACTGCATCCAGTTTTGGTCACCACACTATGAAAAAGATGTTGAGACTCTAGAAAAAGTGCAGAGGAGAGCAACCAAGATGATTAGGGGACTGGAGACTAAAACATATGAAGAACGGTTACATGAACTGGGCATGGCTAGTCTAGTGAAGAGAAGGACCAGGGGAGACATGATAGCAGTCTTCCAATATTTGAGGGGCTGCCACAGAGAGGAGGGGGTCAAGCTGTTTTCCAAAGCACCTAAAGGCCAGACGAGGAATAATGGATGAAAACTGACCAAGGAGAGATTCCATCTAGAAATGAGGAGGAACTTTCTGACAGTGAGAACAATCAACCAATGGAACAGCTTGCCTTCAGAAGTTATGGGAGCTTCATCACTTGAGACTTTCAAGAAAAGATTGGACTGCCATTTGTCAGGAATGGTGTAGGGTCTCCTGCTTGAGCGGGGGGTTGGACTAGATGACCTATAAAGTCCAACTCTGTTAATCTGTTAATCTGTATGCCATGCCTGAAACTCAGCAAAGGAGAACTACATAATAATTTGCCTGTATCAAAGCAAATCGTACAATAGCATTAGCTATTTGTTTTCCAAATATGATTTTGTACTCCATGAATCAATGGACATTATGGCATCCAAGAACTTGGGTAAAAATGCAGTCTAAATTAAGTTTTTTTCCCCCTATGGCTGAAGAAGTCAGGTTTTGTATTCTATTTCTATTATTCTATTCTTTTCTAAATTAGAAAATTTAAGGAGTTATGAAATATTTGGCAGCCCTGTGTGTAATATGTATATATGTGTGTGCATATGTATACACACACAGTATGTGTATATGTGTGTGTTATGGAAAAACTGTGTATAAGTGTATACATTGAGAGGATGGTTGAGTAACTGAACACAAGCCATGTTGCTTCCAATTCTGAAGAAACCTTGAACCTCAAAGAATAACAGGTTGTGTTTGCCCATTTACTTCCCACACAATCAGTACAAAGCTTTTATGTAAAAAGTGTTTCCTGTGAAAAGGTTTTAGTATTGACAACTGTTACAAATAAACTGTGTGCCTTTTAACAGATTATTATTTTGGTGGCAATATTTGATCAAGGATATTTACCTTCACAGAACACATGCACAATGTTTGTTATCAACACAACCCACATACAGTTAATGTTGAAGTTATTTTAAGCCAATCAAAACAGGGAAAGTAGTAATAAGAGCATGAGAATTGTTTCAGATTTCAAATGAAAGGCATGTTACCCATTATTGTGATTTTACATTTTTCCGTTCTTTCACTATCAAAAGTATCGTACAACCAAACACTGATTACAAACATGCTGCATTCTGAATCCTTTTGAATGAACTTCTTGGACTTGAGTTGGTAAAACTGAACCATATTTTTCTATATTGCTACAGTCTAATATCATATTTCTTGCAAAACCTATGAACCAGAAGTTTGGCATTCAGAAAATATAAATAAATATGCAAAAATCAATGTCAACAAAAGTTCCATTTTAAAAAGGCAATTTTTGTGCAAATACAGTCCTGAATAAATGCTGTAGAATATATACTGAGTATTATAACAATATTTGAGATTGACAATAATTAAAAAGTCATTGTTTTTCAACTGTACAATGTAATACATTACATAGGATTAATTTTGCAAGATAGAACACAGAACATATTATTTCAGCCCTCATCATGCATCATTCACATATTCATCATATGATGTATTTTAAGGTTTCTTCTTTTTCTTTCTCTCTTTCTCTTCTTCTTTTTTATTTCCTTCCTATAAATCAAAACTGGGATATTTTTATATGGATCAGGAATCACTAATAAATAGCTGCTCTGTATTTAAATATTTATCTAGCAGCAGTTTTTAAAAGTGCAATGTGCTTCCAACACTCTGAAATACATCCTCATAAATTCGTTCTGCATTTGCTATACAAAGGTCAAGAGGCTCCAATCCAATGAATGGAAAGAAAAATCTGGCACTAAGAAAGAACATACTTTAGAGGGGGGGAGGCATTCCATTAAGCTGCAACAGCTGAAGGGGAAAATGAAAAATCCAGAATCTGCAGCTAAAATACCCCGACTGCTCTGAAGCAAAAAAAATAGTCATCTCTTTAAAAGCAGCAGGTACTAATTCTGCCACTAGTTGGACTCTGGACGGAGCATCTCCTTGAGGACTACTACACAAGCAGGGGAAGAACGGTGCCCCTCCAGTGAGTGTCTGGAATGCTGCTGGGAATCAGTTTTCAGCATTTGCTTGCAGAATATTTCCCGTATCCCTTGCCGGAATTTGGGGTCCCAAACACTGTAGATAGCCACATTCCAACAGCTGTTGGAAGCAAGGATCCAGAAAGCATAGAAGGAGAACTGGCACCATTCATATCCCACTACAGTGCCCACAACAAATACAGCAATGGGAACGAAAGACACGGAGAATGCAAAGGTCAGGATGCCAATGGTCCTGGCAGCAGTGACATCTGAGTAAGAGAGCCGGTGGTTTCCCTGTGGCTCTTCCCTCAGTTGCTTCCTCATTTTGTGGTACTGCCGGACAGTGGCAAAGGTAATGGTATTGACAACAAAAGTGCCACCTAAGAGAGTGAAGTCAAATATTGGGTACAGGAGCATGATGTTCCAATTGGACTCTGGCAACTTGTCTGGAGGAAAGCCATAGTTGCACATCTTACTGCAGGAATTGTACTCAAAGGTGATATTGGGAACCGAGAGCAGAGGTATCACCGCCAAGGAGAAACTCAGTATCCAGGATCCAAGAATCAGCCAAGTGATCCTTCGCTTGGTAATCACAGCTTTCCTGTGCAAAGGCTTCAGCACAGTGATGGTCCTCTCCACCGAAAGCAGAAATATGGTGCTGATTGAGACGAAGGTGCACCCTGCAAAGATAGGGCCAGTGATCAAACAGACCGACCAGCCAGCTGAACTCTCTTCTCGCTCCGTCCCATAGGCCAACGTGTTCGTCTCCTGATAAACTGAGTAAGGTACTACAATGAGCCCCACAGCCAAATCAGCAAGGGCCAAAGAGGCTTTTAGGTAACTTTGGGGTGTCCGGAATTGCCTTACACAGAAGAAAACCAGGAGACTCACCAAGTTTCCAAGAGTGATGGCAATGATCAGGAGGACCATGAAGAGCAACTGGCAGACGACTCCAGCGAAGGCCAGTCTGCAGCCTGTGCTATTGACATTCCTGTTGCTGCTGCTGTTTCCCAACATCGATCAGGTTCTCTTCCCTTCACAGGGCAAAGTAGAAAGAAGCCAGCTAGGGAGCTCTACTTTCAAAGTGCCATGGAAGAGGCTCTACACACACTAGCAGTTTTCCAGGATGCTTGGCTCAGAAACGGCCAATTCATAGGGAAGTCCATGCCAATAAAGGGTTCAGTCATTGAAGCTCAGAGCAGCTGGTTCAGTCGCATAGTCTGTAGGTACACGAAGCACCTGAGCAAAATTCAAACAGGAAGGGCTCTGAAACAAGAAGCCTTCTCCATATGTCAAAAGGGGGCAGAAAAGTCAGAGAAGCAACAGCTCAAGGGAGGAATCTGATCCGTGGCTTGCATCAATATTCGAAGAGTAAGTCAACCTTTTCAATCACTGTGTTTGATCCGCCACAAGAACATCCTGTTAGCCCTGCATTTTCTCTCCTCCTCTCTGATAACATATCGTGAATTGATATACTCCTGTAAATGATGATGAATATTCTTGAAGCATTTTTGGTGCTATTTGCTCCTGAATACAATGGAATAGCCAGGCTCCTCCCTTCCTTCTGTGGGGGGATGGGGGACGGTGCGGTAGGGATGGGGACCAAGTAACCTGGACAGCAGCCTTCCAGGATAGAACTTCAGGATTGATGATCCTGCATTCCACAGAGTCTATGATTACCCAACTGCCCCTTTGCTTCTAACCCACTTTAGAGCTACCTCCCTGTAGTAATTGCAGAAGGGCTTCCAAAAAGGGGGCCAAGCAAAGAGTGCATCTTAACCCTTTCCTCCGCACTTGGAGGAGGCTCTTTCAAGGCGAATGCTCCCACCCAGACCGAACTCTCTTTGTGCTGTCCATCCGCCCCCCCCCCCCCCCCACGCAAGACTTAAGATGGCTTTGCAAAACGCAGCCTAGAACCCTTCAAACGGGGACAATGTGTGCTCGGCATCTTCCGGCAGCGCAAAGTAACCCTCGCACAGGGGTGAAGAAGTCCAACATCAGCTGGGCAAACCAGTAGCCAGAGCACGAGCAAATTGCGGGCCCCGAGCAGAGTCTGCCTTTCTCGGCATTGCGAGGTCTCCGCAACGAGCTTCGCCGAGCTCCTCGGCCAGCCCGAAGGCTGAGCCCCCCGAGGCCCTTCCTGCAGCGCCAAGAGCGTCGGGCTCCTACTCGCAGTTTAATGCAAACTCCAGGCGGCCAGCAGTTCCTGCGCGGCGCCCCCCGCCTTTCGCTTTAAAAGTCAGAGCCCGCTCTTCGGAAGAGCTCCGCCGCCGCCGCCGCCGCCGTCCATGCCTCTCTCGCCTCGCTCTCTGCGCTGCCTTCCAGCGATTTGCTGATGGAGCCGCTGGCAACAGGTGCTGCTGCTGCTGCTGCTTACCCAGGCAGGTAGCATCGCCTGGCTGGCCTGCTGAGAAGGCGCTCAGGCGCTCCTGCCTCCCGAGTCGTGGAACCGAACCTCTCCGCCCAGCCGAAGGGCGACCGCCGTCTAGTTTTTCGCTTCGTAAAGCCTGGCCAGCCCGGTCGGGATTGTTCGGGGCTGCCCGCCCCCGCGGCTTCTGCGTCTGCCCAGAGGCGGCACCTTTGTATAGCGCTGGACGCCCGAAGGAGCCTGGAGGCGGGAAGATCGTCAATCCTCGCCGCGCCTTTCTCTGCCTTCTGGGGTTCGTGGGCAAAGAGCCCCCTTGAGACCCTCAGCTGCGGGAGTGGCCCCTCGTCACCTCGGGAAGCCGAACCCTATCCCCTCAGCAACGAACAGGAGATGTCTATGGAGATTCTCAGTCACGGTTGTCCCAAAGGTGAATAAATAACAATAACAATAATAATAATAATAATAATTGGTTAGGAGTCGAGCTGCTGAGCTATTAACCAGCCTCAAAGGCTGTGAATCTCGCTAAATATTAACTAATAATAATAATAATAATAATAATAATAGTAGTAGTAGTAGTAGTAGTAGTAGTAGTAGTAGTAGTAGTACAGAAGTAACAGAATTGGAAGGGACCTTGGAGGTCATCTAGTCCAACCTCCTGCTCACATAGGAGACCTATACTAGGGATTCAAACCGCTGACCTTTCTAATCGACAAGCTCAGTGTCTTAGCCACTGAGCCACCTAGCCACGCTTTTTAGCCACCTGGACTCCATTTGTTTTTGCTTGAAGACCTTTCACTTCTCATCCAAGAAGCTTCTTCAATTCAACAGAATTCGGAGGAGGAATTAACTACAGGAGATGTCGCTAATTTCGTTTAGAAGCACAGAAGACTTCTAGGCTAGGGTAAAGCTGACCATTAGTCCAAATCAGTGTTTTCTAACCTGGAGGACTTAAAGATATGTGAGCATTAACTTAAACTTGAACCCCCCCACATGTCTTAAAAGTTGCTGAGGTTGAGAAACACTGGTCTAAATGGCCCAGCCTTCTCCATTCAGGTACCTTCCAAAATGGTATAACAGCTCTTATCAACTCCAGGCAACATGGATAACTGGTCTGTTTTGCCAGGAGGGTAGAGGGAGGGCTATGGTTTTTAAAATTAGATACTCAATTTATGAAGTGATTACCCAATTTATGAAATGATATATAAGTCTCAGTGCTATTGCTATTCTGGATAGTGAAATGGACGGGACATTTTCTCCACAAGAAGAAGAAAGTCTCCAGCAATTTCTCAAGGGAAAAATTTCCTGTTAGCTATGACACACAGCGGCAAAAGCCTCATGGGAGGAATAGAAACTGAAGCAAGAACTGAACTGAAGCATGGAAGGCAATGGAGAGGAAATAGCAAGGAGGGAGGAGAGGCTATTGAGTCCCCGCAATTATGGTCACTTATAATCAAATAAATGCTAAAAAGCCATTCTCTCTTCTTGAGAATTGATCTGAAATTCTCTTCTCTGTTAAAAGTTTCTCAAGCACTTTCTCTCCATCAAACTAAACAACAACTGATACAAAAAGATGCAAGAAACTATCTCAATCCAGCATTACCCCAGAATTTTTCTGGAGATACTGTACCTTGGGTAGAATGTAAGATTTCCTGCACAAAAAGGACACTCCTGAACTACAGACCTCCTTAGTTATTATAATCTAGTCTCAAAATTGTATAGATTGCCAGACACATGTTCTCTGTGTTTACAATTAAAATCTTCAGGTTTTTATTGAAGGAGGAAAATAGACAACATAGGCAGAACACACTCCCCAATTTTTTTCTAGGGTATTACTTCTGGAATTACTTCTTAGAAAGTAATAAAATGCCAGTTCTGCCAAAAAAACCCACTTAGAAATCAAAGGATAACTGAGGTACTATCACTATCAGGGACTAGCACTGATGATGTTACCTAGTTTGAGTAGTGAAACATTTGCAAGAAAACAACCAAGCTCAGAGAGCCCTAAGGAATCCACATTTCAACCTTGAGTTACAAATATTCTCCTTTATTGGCAAAAGAAAGTTACTTGAAACAGGAAAAAGTTTATTGAAAGTAAGGCCAAGGGAGCTAACACACTAAAAGTATTGTTTAGTTAAAAGTTTTTTTCTAAAACGCACAGTCTTTGTACAAGTCATTGTTTTTCTAGTTCTGCCTTTAGTATCCCTAATTCCATAAGTTATATGTATTTCATGGTTTGCATAAATCTATATAAGGGGGTTGCATTCCCACCCTTTTAAAGATTTACTCTCATAGCTTCTAGTAGTGCAATAAAGTAATAATTTCTAGTAGTGAAATAAAGTCAATTTGTGTTTCAAAAGGAAGGGTGTGATCTTACTAGCAGGGAATGTTTTCCTAACCAGTATTCTATCAGTAATGAGAAATATATAAGCCAAGAACCTTTCTGGGGGATGAGTTTTTGGGATGAATTTTTGCCATTCATATCCCACTAGAGAGGGGAGCTGCTTGTAAAGAATTCTTTCCTCCCCAGGCCTCATAGCTGCTGAGATTAGGAAAGATTCTTAACAGAACAGAACAGAATAACAGAATTGGAAGGGACCTAGTAGGTCATCTAGTCCAACCCCCTGCTCAAGCAGGAGACCTGACAGTTGCCAGTCCAGTCTCTTTCTGACAGTTGCCAGTCCAGTCTCTTCTTGAAAGCTTCCAGTGATGAAGCTCCCACAACTTCTGAAGGCAAGCTATTCCATTCGTTAATTGTTCTCACTGTCAGAAAATTTCTCATTATTTCTAGCTTGAATCTCTCCTTGATCAGTTTCCAACCATTATTCCTTGTCTGGCCTTCAGGTGCTTTGGAAAATAGCTTGACCCCTTCCTCTCTGTGGAAGCCCCACAAATATTGGAACACTGCTATCATGTCTCCCCTTGTCCTTCTCTTCACTAGACTAGCCATGCCCAGTTCCTGCAACTGTTCTTTGTATGTTTTAGCCTCCAGTCCCCTAACCAACTTGGTTGCTCTTCTCTGCACTCTTTCCAGAGTCTCAGCATCTTTTTTATCTTAACTTCGATAGTACCTAAATTAGTAGCATTTTCATTAGTAAATAATCCTCAACCCCAGATTTAGGCACTCTGAAATCCTTATTGGTCTCTCTTCATTTAATTTTATGAGGCTTCTGGCAGTGCTTATATAGTAAGCCTCTGTTATTTCCACTTTGGATGCCTCATAATGTTCAATGAGGCATACCTTTCTTTGTTTGTTTTCAACCTATCCGCATAATTGGAGATGGAAGTAATTTCCATTGGATTTGGTGAATATAATTCTTCTACATTTGCATAAAATTTCAGTGTCAAGTTTCCTCTTCCACTGTTTTTGCCCCTGAATTTATTCTTATTATATGATGATGATGATGATGCTTTATGTTGATAAATTGAGACTTCTTGCAACAAAACAATAAAACATCAAATCTACAAATAAATAAATAAAGAGCATTATCACCAGTGGTGGGTTGCCCCCGGTTCATACCGGTTCTATAGAACCGGTAGTAAAACCGGCGGGAAGCTCCGCCCACTGACCCTGATGTGATCAAAATGCTTCGCAAGCAAAGCGAGTGCGCGTGGCCCCATTGCAAACTGGTAGTAAAGGTAAGTAGAACCCACCCCTGATTATGACCACCATCACCACCCAAAAATTGTATGGAAAACTGGAGGAGGAAGGAGAATTATGTATCTACACCACCTTGGATTACTTAGAGTAATAAAAGGGGGATAAAAATTTAATTACTAAATAAATGTTCCTGGGGGAGATGAGGTGTACGCCAAGAGTATATATTCCCACAGGGTCATCTAAGACATGAAGGTCAACCCAGCTGCCCAGCTAAAGCAAGCAGATCCTTACATTCAGCAGCAGAGATATACTGTAAGAAGATGCTAGAGGCAGACAATCACTTCAGTGACAATGGCAAAAAACATCAATTCATATTGCGTATGAGAAAGCAATAGGTATCACTCCTGTACCTTTACCAGGAAAACCCATATGAATGGAAAATACCAAATAATAATATAGTAACCCAGGGTTGTGTTACAGTGAGACAGGCAGCATGTACATTTAATAAATAAATAAATATAGTCAGATGATGAGCTCCTCAGGTCATATTGCACTCAACATACTACTGCGGATCTTTTGGTGTACTAATGGTGTCTCTGCCATGGTTGGATTAAGGCCTTCAGGCCATCTAGTTGTTAATATTGCCATACAAAAAAAACAAAAAACAAAAAAAACAACCCTCAAAACTGCAAAAAACGGGAATTTATAACACTGTGAAAGATGAAATGAAACAACTTTAGTGATAAGCTATTTAGATTTATTGGAATTGGACACTTTCAGTTAGAAGATTACACTGTTTATTACTCTGGGCATGGAAAACAAACAAGAAACGATATTGCTTTTACTGTTATGAAGACTATAACAAGACAGTACTTAGATACAATGCAAGGTAACTGAATAATATCAGTTAGACTTTTTGGACAACTCTTCAATATGACAATTATCCAGGTTTATTTTCCAAACACTAACGCAAACGAGGAGTTAGGAACTAATTGCTATGGGGAAAATCTATCGAAGAGTTAACAACTGGGAGGCACATAACCATTTATTTTGCTTTTTTTTTTTTTTGTGGCAGATGCCTCCTGGAAACAGCTTCCAAAATCTGCCCGGAAAAAGACAGCAATATATTGTTTCCTTTCAGGCAGAAAGAGGATTGTCGTACTAATGGTTTTTAAAAAGCCATGCGAGACAGCCAAAGACTTTGATGCTTTCAAGATATGCAGATTTGATAAGTTATCTGCAATTTCCATAAAACTCAAGGAAACTTATTCATAATGACTGGTCAGAAATTGTAATAATAATAAAGAACTTTGGATGTTCTATAAGCAAAAGAAAAATAAAGAAAAACTGCTTAAAAAACCCAAAGTACCATCTTTTTATTTTCATACAAGCCACATCCAGTGCTACATTTTGCAAAATTTCAATATTAAAATCTGGCTATCAAAATTGTGCCATGCTATTTCCAAAAGGTGTTCCATACATTTCTGGTCATTCATGTGAAGTGCAAATGTTTACCTAGAAA